CAACAGATCGTCAATACATGTTTGGAAATTCCCAGAATTAAATCACGATTTAATTGTTCTCTCAATTTCTCAAAACTGTTCTTATATGGCTTCTAAGATTTCCAATTAGATGCTGATTTAAATGTATAAGTCCGAAGGCGAATTCGCCGTAAGTTAGCCGTAAGTGAGTAGAACAGTACAACCTACTTCAACAGTCAACATAATCTTCAATGACAACTGATGCCGAAGAAAACAACCACCGAATGGTGCGACCCTGCCTTCGAACCTGATAGGCATCAGCATAAGGATGCCCAAAGACCAGACTAAATCAAGATTTAATGCGGCTGATAAGTACAAACTACATTCCTTGTGTTTACGGATAAGGAGGCCGAAATGTCACATTAAATCATGATTTAATGGGGCAATTAGGTACCAACTAGCATAAGTCTCGCAGGAGAACAAAAAACTCAGGATTTAATTGTCTATCGGTCGAATGCACAGAAAAAGAATTGAAACCAGATTCAGTTGTGTCATTGGAGGGTCCAAGGTAGGTCAACACCCAACCATTAAATCAGGATTTAATGTTTTTTAACTTCTGGATTCATTGGTTTTCGGTTGGACATTAGCATCACTGCCAAAACAATTGATCTGAGAGCTACCAGGATGAGCTTCCGGTTTCTCGATATCCTCACTTTGCTGCATCGATGATGTCGAAGGGCAAAGGTGACATACCAACGCATGACATCGACGTGTTCAGCTATGACCGGGGCACCCGCTCAAGCGGGATCGGTTTGTCGCACTAGACCATGACAAGAATAAGTGATCACTTTCGCTGTCATGCAGCAACCAACACCGTTAGAATTGACTGCCCTGCTCAAGAATCACTTGTTGCTTGCAGTGGAAGTGGCATTGGAAGTGCAGCAGGTGTGGCGTTCTTCTGTTGCTGTGTCCGGCTCTGTTCGCCTTTGTTCAGTTCCGGCCAGCACGCCTGGCCCCCAGAACCTCGACAGGTGTATCTGACATGAAGTGCAGCCTTATCTGCACAGGCCCTGCGACTCGAGTTGCAGCTGCTGCGGAGTCTCGTACGGTTGCTGAAGACAAGGACCGTGTGTCACATGCGTCACCCCTGCAAACCAGCCAACGTCTCATTCCAAAGTCACCCATATAGCCATATAGCGGCTCAAGAAGTCACACTGCGTCATAGATGTCGCTTGTAAAGACATCCGGAGCTCAGGAGATTTCGGACAAGCTTGATGAGGCGCTGTGCTCAGTGAAGTCAGCATTTTCAGACTGAGGGTGGTATAGTCTTACTTGTGCGAAGTTGAGGTCCTGAAGAAAAGAGGTTTGAAGAAGGACGTTAGCCCGGAGGAAGATGATGCGAGCTCTTTGTCGGAGAGCGCCAAAAAGGCCTCACGATGCTGTCCGCCCAGTCTCGGGAAAGTTGTGCTTTGCAGAGGCCGTGGACAAGGCCACGGGGAAGAAGCTGAAGCGACGCGAGCTCAAGGCACTCGCTCACCTTCGTCGCTCCTACATTCTGGGAACGAGGGTCATGTTGCAGGCCCCGAAGAAGAAGTCCAGGTCCATTGTCAAGAAAAGCTTGGATGAGGCGTCCGCCATCATCTGCCTCTTCCCGTCTCTACTCGAAGTCATGGCAAAAGCTAAGCGGGCCGCGGCCCAAAGCCGCCTCTGCAGGTGCTGAAGTCTGCCAGCGACGATGACGAACGGCCAAACTTTCTGCCAGCCAAGCGGGACGTTTACAAAGAGGTGCTCTCCGTTTCACGCAGACTCTGCTGAACCAACCCTAGAAGCTGAATGCATTGCACTGACAAGGTTGGCATCACAAGGCAGGAGGTGGAGAGGTATTGGAAGCGTCGTGATGAAAGTTCCAAGAACTTCGTTGACAAGTTTGTGGGTGCCTGCCTAAGTCAGTTCTGTGTTTGATCTAGCTGATGTCCAATCAATCCGCTGACGCTTTGCAGTTTGTCGGCACCATGGAATGCAGATGTGTCGCTAATTGTGGGGCTGTGTTGCAGGACCGTACTTCCTCATCATTCCAGTGTTGGTCTTGATCATCTTGTACTTGATCTACGACTCCTATGCCAATCCCCAGGAGTTCGTCACTGCGTCAATGACTGGACTCGACTAGCAGCCGTAGTCACGGAACCGCGATGCACTCGTTGTTGCACGGCCTTTGAGACATGCACTGACAAACTTTTCTGCGCGAGAGAAAGTGATCATGAGATACAAGCAGCAACAGGACAGTGAGTGTTCTGCTTGCTTCCGTCCGTTTACGAAAGACACGAGTGTGCATGCATTCACCGAACCCTGCGACATGAGCCAACGTCGGCTGCCACTCGGTTCGGCTGTCAAGTATAGTCTTTACTTTCCTTCTTTGGCGTGAACTTTGTTTTGGGGGCCAGAAACTCAGAAGATATGATTGGAGAAGCTTTTGTTGATGGCAAGACCTTGCCAAGCTGACAAGGTTCGATCGTGGGATTCCTGGCAGCAGCCTGCCCTTAAATGCACGTTTGCAGGACGGGACCAGTGCTCTGCTGCCTGCCACTATCATAATAATTCACCCTTGCCAGATTCATCAGATGTGGGTCTTCGCCGGCTCTGTTTCGCAACGTGAAGTTTCGATATGCCTCTTGACCATGCTGGTCAGGACTGGGGATTGAGGGCGCAAAGAAGCTCTGGCCTGTGGCTTGGGACCTCGAGTTGTGCATCTGCAAGTGTTTTCTTCAGAACCTCCAAGGATTTGCTGCCGAGTGGACCTGACCATGCTGACGTTTTACATATGGTCCCCCCTGGCTTGCTTTTGGGCGCAGAGAGGCATGTGTTTACGGCTGAAGCCCCGACAGACCGAGCCAAGTGCAGTGCAGAGATCCGAGTCAACGACACGCGGCACAAGTCATGTTCATGACAGGATGGCAGAACGAGCAGAGCACAAGAAGGCAGGCAGTGCATGCGGTGATTATTATTATTATTATGATTAGTATGATTATTGTTATTTGTTTATTGTCACTATTACTATTATTATTACCAGCAGCTGAGCACAATTCGAATCATTTGCTGCAGCTGTTCCGAGACAAGTCATTCGCTTCATCCATCCTTGACCCTCATGTCAGCATGAAAGCAACATGCAGCAGTGCAGTGGCAGCCACAAGCGGTACCCATAGAGCTGTGACATCATTCCTTTGATCCAGTTGTTGTCTGGCTGTTCCGACCTGCCAAGCGGTTGGTCCATCACGGTGTCACGCAATTTGGTTTGCAGGTGCATCCTGCTGGCATCCACAGAAGAAAGCCCAAGGTACAAGATTGATGAATCTGCTTCACTGCCTTCGCGTAGCCCAGTCGACTTTGACACGACCTTGCTCGGCCAGGCTTTCGAGCTTATCGACCGGGGCAATGCCGAACTGGGCATTCAGCCCACCGCAGCGCAGCAGCATTGATTCCCCGAAAGACCGCGGTCATGAGCGGTTGTTCTACACAGCTCTCCCGAGTAAGACTGTTTCAGAATGGATTGGTCGGCATTCGGAACATGCTGTAGCTGCGACTTCGGGATGTGCCGTCAGGTGAGCGTGCATGGCAAGATCTTCCAGGCGAGTTTGTCCAAGCCCAGAGTCGAAGTTGCTCCCATCATCTCCCACCACACGCCCAGATCTGCAACAAGTCGCTGTTCGTCTTTGGTCTAGATGGCTGGACCAGACGTTGTGCTGCGAACCTACCAACTGCACAGTTTCGAACAGGGCATGCAGAAGAGACAGATCTACGTGTGCGGTGGAGGTTTGTAACTGCATGGCTGACCCTGAGCAAAAGGAAGCGGTAGAGACAGAGAGAGACAGAGAGAGAGTAGCCATTTTGGCTCAAGCACCTTTGCTTGGGGGTTTGTGACACCCCCTTGCATCGGGGAGGAGGCGCGGGGTTGACCCGAGGTTGTACCCTCGCTGGAAGAAGCTCCGGGACCGTGGCAGGAGCGTCAGTGGGACGCCTGGCCGGCCGACCCCTTCCCTGCGAAGAGGCCGCGGCTCACACCCAACCGCCCCGACGGGCGGTCCATCATCGTCCTCTCCGCTTTCGATTGCATCGGAGCGGAGCACTGGTTGGTGGGACGAGGGGCGCCTGAGAGGCTCCTTGATCTTGCCATTCGGTAGGGGTGCGCCGGGTGGGCGCAGAAGTGCGCACCCCGGCACCGGCACGGCCCGGCGCAGTCTGCGCCGCGACGACCAAAACAAAATTAAGGGCCACTGCACCTTAGTAGGAGTTTTGGCTAACACGTCGTTAGCGTACCGCTTGTCGTGTAGCGCAATTATGCGCGGCTCGATCGCTGATTCTTGTCTCCCACCCTCGCCACCCTGGAGGGAGCTTAAAAAACTGACTTTCGTCTGAGACCATCGGCCAATTGAAGGCGCCGTTACCGCAGGTTTTGAACCATGGGCCGCTGCTCGCAGAATGGGCAAAGGCAGAATCCACCCCCTTGTTGATCCTTCGACATGGGACAACGAATGAATAAAGACGTAGACGGAGACGGAGGGAATCACGGAGGAAGGGAAGGAGATGGGGGAAAGGGTTGAAGTAGCAAGTACGAGAGGAGTCCAACACGATGTGATACCTTATGAAAAAAGCCAGGCTAGAAGGTGACTAGTCCTAAGCAAAGGCACTGGGCATTTTGTGACTTAAAGGGAGCAAAGCTGAAGGGCACGTGAAGTCCTCAGAGGATTTTGTCGGCAGCCCGAAACGTTGAAGAAGTCTGTGAGGGATGTCGCCGATCGAAATTCGCAGGGAGATCAACGCCGTCAACACAAACACGCCCTTCGAAAAATACAGGCTTGGGTACACAGTGAACGGCGGTGAACTTCAAAGCTTGAGGATAGAAGGAAGAGGAAGCACAATAAGATTTCCTCAGTCTTTCCTGAAGGTGCTGCTGAACTTGACGAATCCCGAACTGTGTCACTGTTGGTACCTTCTAAGAAGCTTTGAGCAAGGCAATCGGCAGTTGCTGTGGCTTTGCGAACCTTGCATCAGCACTCAGGTGATGAGTTTGGTTGGATGGGTGCAGCCCTTGCACGAGGGTCTCGAGACAGTAGCTGCGCAGGTACTAGCTGGTACTAGCTGCTCTTGACCGCTCGCTGAGGTATGGTTCGACCGGATCATCCTCTTTCTCATTGCATTGAATTCAATAGGCGGTGTCAGGGTGTGTTGCACATGGACGCTTGGCCCGCTTGGCCTTGCCCGGATGGGATTCGCTGTGTTCTTCTCGGAGGCCTCGCCCTGGTGGACTGGCGGAGTGATGCCAACACAGGCGCCTTCTGCCCGACTCTCCCTTCTGCCTTTTCTGGGAAAGGGCGTGCGATTCCACAGGTCTTCCGTGTCATGTTACGGCCCGCCAGGTTTTAACGGGTTCTACAACAACGTCTTGGACCTGGGGCTCACGATCTTTTTCACCCTGGAGGGCATCTTGAAGGCTGGAGCCGGGGATGTCGACTGGCAGGGTCCTCCGTGTGCGTGCTGAGGTTGTCGCCTGGGGCTTCTTCTGGGACAGAAACTCTTATCTTCGAGACGTCGGCTGGCCCAGCGTGTGACAGTGAGCGGGTTTTTTTCCGACGTCTCAAGGTACTGTAGGATTCTTCTAGATTGCGGTTGGTGCAACAGCATTTTGATGAAGGCCTGGAACTGGCTGGACTTCATCGTGATCTTGACAGCACTCAGCTCAGACCTTCTCAGTCCGACCATGGGCAGTTCTTGCGACACGAAGCGTCACATGGCAGCCTTTCAATTGGTTTCATGTCTGCACTGATGGAAAAAGTGGCTTTCGAAGGCTTGGGCGACCTATCTGCCAGGCGGGGCGGGTTTCGGTTTGCCTGGGACATGCAGCTGTGCATCGCCATTGAACATGATGTAGGTAACTGCTCAACGCCGCTCAACTGAAGGGCTGTCTTCATCCTGCATTGACACGGACCGAATCGCATTATTGACACGGATTTCAGGAGGTGGAGCAGACAGGCGCAGTCCTCAGATGTGCTCAGTTCAGCGAGACGTGTTCATGAAAAGCGTTCCTTTACGAGAGGGGTTCGATGTTGCCACTTGGTACTTATCCGCCTTTGATTGTCTCCCGAGTCTGGGCTTCTTCCGTGTCTTCCGCGCCTTGCGGCCGCTGCGGTCGCTCAACGCGGTTCCGCAGATGAAGGCTGGGGGAGATATGGAAAACTACCTCGCCTGGCATGTCCGAGTTGGGAGATATGGAAACAGAGGTGCGTGATGTTGCCACAGTTTCGTGACGCTTTCAGCCACTGGAAGAAGTTGGAAGAAGCTGCCGGCATGTCGCTTCGTGATTCGACCAAGATGCAGGGTGCTGGTTTCTGCTGACAGCGCGAGGTGCTCGTGAACACGGTCATTAGCTCTGTTCCCCGCCTCGGCAACGTGTCCGCTGGGCACTCTGGAGCAGTTGCAAAGCCTGAGGATTGGGTGTTGTAAGCTGCTGTGACAGTAGCGGAACTCTTCGAGTTTGCGTCACCCGTGAGGCTGTGGGAGCCTTCCTTTTCCTCGTCTTTGGCATCGTAGGTGGCCTGTAAGTCTCAGAGGGGGAGATGCAGCGACCAACAGCCACTGAAGCAAGACTTGCAGAACATCATCGCTGGGTTTTGTTTAGCGACGGCGCCTTAAGGACGTGTTGCAGCTCCGACTGAAGATGCAGCTTTGTAGTGGCTCCGGGCATTGTTAGGACCATCACGCCATTGACCGTTTCGGGTGCAGGTGTCACTCTGATGAGCGGTGTTTTTAATCGGCTATGCCACACAGCTCAGAATCCGGCTCCCCGGCAGCAGCTGATCCGTTGGCCCGTCGGTGATCACGAAAATGAAAAAATCACGACGGTCTGCTTCCTGCTTGAGCTTCAGGTTCTAGTGTTTCAAAACGGCACCGGGACCCAGTGCTGGCCAAGACCTTGGAGCATGGCTTCGTGGTTCATCGGTGGACTCTTTCCCTAACAGGTCCTGGCCCTATGCAGACGACGACCGCCTGTGTGGCGGCGCCTACAACTGCGGGGTGCTCGATGTTTTGTAAGCCGAACCCTGCCGTGCCCTTTTCTTGAAATCTCAGGCGAAGCGTCTGGCGGCTTCTGTGGTGGCCTCGAAGAGGAGCTGAGACGAGGCGAGGCGCCTGCATTCACCCAGGGAGCCCGCTGACGCCAGGACCAACGGGAGGAGCTGAGGCCCAACTTCGGCGTGAATGGCAGGAGAGTGCCGGGGGTGCCGGGACGCCATGGCCGGAGCCGGGGGGGGGGCTCATCCCCATCCCTACATGACAGAACCTTCGCGCAGGATGAACTTGCCCTGGTGCGTTGGAAGTGAGCCCAAAAAGTCGATGCCTCAGACGTCGCGAGCAGCCTTGCGCTGCAGAGTTCTTCGGTTGAGTTTGCCTCAAGCGCGACCACAGCTGGAGGGTCGCGTAGCAGGGTTCTCAGAAGGACTACGCTATAGGCAGCATTGCAGCACTCTTCCGCGTTTCCAGTCTTCCGCAATGCAGATACTCCATTTTGGGTCAAGTGTGTTGTGGAAGCCAGCCCTTGCTGGAGCCCAGTTCCTGGACTCGACCCCCACACGCACTTGTGAAACAACACCTTGCTTGAGGGATAGAAACCGCTGGGTCCTAGTCGCCAATCCCACAACAAACTATGCTAAGGCGTGTAATCGCAGACCTTGGCAACTTGGCATCCTACGATGCAATGGCCTCCCCCGGCTTGCATCGTCCTGGGGTGCTTGCGCGTGTTTCCGGCCTGGAAGCCACGCCTGCGCTCAATGGCGAGGTTGGGAAGTTGCTGCGGCTGACAGAGGAGGGCCGCTGGGTTGTTCAAACAGGGGCAGGTCTTTCTGCCATTCGAAGCGAGAATCTGTCGCCCGCAGCCGATGTGGTACCGGAGTCCCTGCGCCGGCTGGTCGCTTGTGCCGCGGCCGTGACTGCAAACCTTTTCCTGGAGCTGGCACGGTCGGGAGGCTCCCGGCGTGTGACCGCCGCGGCTGTGCCGGTACTTTTGGCTGTCTGGGCCTTTGCCACACTTTATGGCGCACGCTGGCTGCATCGCCCGCTGGCATGGCAAGAGTTTCCGTTGCCGGGACTCTGGGAGCTTAGCTCCGCGCCTCCCTCGCAGGGCGTCTTCCGAGGAGGATGTGCCACAGCTGCGATGCTCTTGACCTGTCTGGTGCGGCTTCACCAGAATCTGATCCTGAAGCCCGTGTTCATCGACAAAGAACAGCTCTCTGCAGCACTCCAAAGCACCCCGGCAGGGTATGTCGCAGCTCTTGGGCTCGTTTTGCAGAGCTTGGAACTCTACACATCAGGGCTTTTGACGCCGGGGCTCCGGGACTTTTTGGGGAGTGTGCTGTTCCTCGGAGGGTCTGCGTGGCACGCAAAGACGTTCCTTGTGGTCTCCGCTGAGCTCTCCCAGAGTGCCTTCGCCCAGTCGACTGTCTTCTGCATGATGCTCTCCATGCGCAGGCTGCTGGTGATGTGTGCTCCGATCGTGGCCTCGAATGCATCAATGGTTATTCCCATCTTTCAGCTGAAAGGCCTTCCTGCGGGCGACGACAAGCGCCAAAGCAACCAACAGACACTGAGGCTGAGGCTGAAAGGGAGCATCGCCATCTGCCAGTGGGTGCTAACCTGCTACTTCATGCTCTACTTCAGTACCTATGCCATTGACTTCTACATCGCCTTTGACTACTGAGAGCCTGAGCCCCACCACAGAGGACCGAAGGGCCGAAGCGCGCTCCATCGAGAAAAGGCTTTCGAAGAAGCAGAGGGGATTCAGAGCCGACTGTCTGACTAAGGCTGACACCCGATTCGGAGTACATGAACTTCGACAACATGTTGTGGGCTTTGCTAGTGGTCTTCCAATGCATGACAATGGAGGGTCTGGTGCCCAGCTTCCAGCTGAGAACAATTCATGGAGCGAGAAAGGGGGACGCCACGATTCGTGCAATCGTCGGGTGACTCCTATTCAAAACCTGGCTCTCTTAGGATTCTGCGAACTGTCCATGCTTGATCATGCCTGAACCTCCGAAGGCTGGACCGATATCATGTACCGCGTGCAAGATGCCTACGACTTTGTGGTCATGGCCTCGGGGATAGATGTCTCAGTTCACACGTCCACATCCGAAAATGTCCTCTGCGCCATCGCGCAGCACCTGCCCTTGGAAGGCTGCCACGCTCTACTTCTTCTTGCTGATACCGGCGCACTGCTTAGACTGAAGTTGTGGTCGACTTGCCACGTGGATTGCTCCAATCTGTCAACCGTTCAAAGTTATCCTGTTCCCCTGCTCAGCTTACTTCTTTCTTCCTGCTGAATGTAGCGCTGGCCGTGGTAGACGAGGCACGCGCCGCTTGCTGTGTGTGCTCGCTGTTCTAGCTCGGAGGGGAAGAATGGGACTGCATAGCTTCTGGTGTTACCCGAAGGCAAGTAGTTCTCAGCACCACACGTTACAGCCAAAGCCAAGAGCACACCGGGAAGCCGGTCCACGCTTAAAGGCCCGCGCCGACTTTGACGAGGAGGAGGTGGGGGCTGCGTTCCCTTGCAGCTGTTATCTTTGCTATGCGTTTTCTGTCTGTTGGTCTAGCTGCTAGTCAAGCGGTCCCTCTCCTCACCGGTATCGGCATCTGTGCCGGTACAGGCATCGGAAGAAGAAGAGAGCAATGAAAAGGACGGAGGCATCGACGATTGCAACAGCCCAGTGCACTAGGACTGTGGGATTTTAGCGAAGGACCGTTGAGATGCAATTCCACTTCGCTGTTGGCTGCCACTGTTGGTTTCTGCACGCCCTGTGCAGAAGCCCTCCGAAAGTCTCTTCTAGGCGAGGACGACGAGGCTGGCGCGGGGGCGAAGTGGGTCTGGTCAAATTCGCAGCATGGCGGATTTGCCGAGTCTGCATGTTTCTGCCATGTTGGCATCTTGAGAGGATCCGGACGAGCAGCCGCCCTGGCTGGATTGTAGTCTTGTGCCCGAACCTGAGCAAATGGCTGAGTGACCATTCTGTGGTGCAGTCTGTACAGCGAGGCATACCTGCAGAGCCATTGCCTTCAGCGAGTGGTTTATGAACATTATCATGCTCTTTATTGTCAGCAATGCAGGGTCCTCAGACGAGTTGTTCAGTTGTGGTCCTGCTGCCCTGTCAGTGCTGCATTCCATACGAGGTCATCACGATGATGATGGAGAGCTTCCCGCCACCCGGGGCTCCCCAGCAGGACATGGCGATCTGGTCGAGTGCTTGACTGAACACTGGATACAATTCTCTTGCCATTGGGAGGTGATGCCTCGTTGAGAACTAACCAGCCACCTCCAGTAAGTCAGTGCATGCATGATGGCATGATGCAGCTGCTTCTGATCCTCTTGGTTAAGGTGGTGTTGCCGTTGTTACTAGTACTGCTGATGGCGTTGGTTGTCGTTGTTGTTGATGATGATGGTGTGTTGATGGGCTTTCCGTGGCACGGCTGTTGGTCGTGTTGTTGAGAATGATGGAACTGTCGCTTTTGTTGATGATTGTCTTGATGCTGGTGTTGCTCACGAGGAGGAGGAGGGGGACCGGCGGAGACTACTGTATCATGGTCACGACGATGATGTTGCTCTGACTGTGGTGTCGGTTTTGATGGTTGTGGCGACCCTGGTGGCTGCATCGAAGAAATGTAGAAACAAGCCGTTAGTTCGCTTCGTCCCTACGTACCAGCCAAAGCAGTTGTTGCAGACGAGACGAGGACATAGTGGGTTCACTGGAACTTACCTTTCTGGTGGTCTTCTGTGTGGAGATGGCCGTCTTGCTGACTGCACTAGGCCTGTATTGCTGTCTGCTCCATGCTGTGAAGTACAACTGCCGTTCAGTCTGTCACGTCTTCAGGCCCGCACAAGCGCGGCGCTCAGACTCTGTTGTGAAGCAGCAGAAAGGGTAAAGCCTCACAAGCTTTTTTCTGCGTTAACGAGAGGTAAACAGGTAAACTACATGGCAGGAAGTTAGACATGAGAGAGTCCTCCGCAGGAGCATCTATATCGGCGCATTATTGCAACAACCCATGAAAGACACTTCTAACCTGCAACAGTCACTGTACCTCGTCCGTAAGAGAGCGCAGAACAGGTATCAACCGTCGCCTGGAGTATGTATGAGTATGTGAAAACCGATACGCTTTCCTCATCGAAAGCTCCTGCGGCAGATAGTAACCCTGTTTCGGAGCATTATCAAGGTAAGGTTGTCACAATCATGCACATTGTACTATTTACTAGTCACATACTAGTATGTTGCCAATTATCCAAGAGTAACTTGAATCAGGAGGCATAGCAATCATCCAGATCCAGGGTGAAGGGGAGAGCCGGGATTAGGGGAGCCTCAGAGCTTGTTCTGCCCTAGCACACATGCAGGAAAAGTTGCGACACTGGAAATCGTAGGCCTTGCAAGTAAACCCCAGCGAATCCAAACCTGGTCGAAGAAGGCAAGCCGCCCCCTTGGTTCCATTTGCAGCAGGATCGGCTTTCATGGCAGAAATGCCGCAACTCGAGTCTACGACAGGTACTTCTCGAATCCAGTGACGGCTTTCGATGGTGTCATCGTGATCACTTCTGTCGTCCAGGTAGGCCGCATTTTTTCCGTGTGTGAGTGAACTGCGTGGAGAAATTGACTTCTGCTTGTGCGGGTTCCAAGAATGCCCTGCCGCTGATGCTTTCGGCAGGGACTTCTTTTAGACTGCTCCTTTGCCAGATGTGCGTTGGGCAAGCTGGCCCGTTTACAGCGCTGCGGACGCTGCGCCTCTTCAGGGTCCGGAGCGCAGAGGGCGGGGGTTCACGTGCCGCATGTGACGCGAGTGCCTCTCTCGAAGGTCCTGAACAAACTGGCCAACCGCTGGCCGTCTTTTAAGGTGCTCCTGAAGGCCTGAAGCCCAGCACGCTCAACACTTGAATTGTCTTAAGTTGGAGGCTGAGTCCTTTTCTGTTGCCTCGCAAGCGGCGTCCGCGAAGGCAATGGTGTTGACAGCCATTTCACTGAATTACTGGCTCATCCTCTTTGCGCCCCGGCCTTGGCAAGCTGCAATGCAGGAAAGTAGACACATCAGCGAATGTAGTTTTCGCCATCGCCATGTTGAGTTGGCGACAATCATGGCAACCCCGTGGACAGATCAAGATAATGTCGCTTCAAGCGGCAATGCGGCAAACGTGTAGTGTGGCGGTCGGGTGCCGGCCAACCCTGCGCACTGTGCATATTTGCAATATATTTGCATGTAGTGCCATTTGCCCACAAGCGACAGCTTCTGCCAAGCCCCCTGACATCAAGAGCACAGGTGCTCGAGCTGTGTTCGAAAGTAAGCATCTAATCAAGACAGGGGGGCCGGGCCTTTGTGAAAGCATGGAATCGGCTGCGAGCTGTTGATTGCAAGCAAGCTGCATTCTTCAAAGCCACGCGTGCTCGTGACGACAAAAGTTACGGGGGAAGAGTTTCTGGCATATTCTGGCAAGTTGCACAGGCCCGCTTAAGCTTTTGGCATCTGCAATTGAATAAGCTCAATCCACAACGGAAAACTACACCGGCACCAAGCAAGTCGTAGGGACCATAGACTACAGAAGACCGCATTCGAAGCTGCAGCCACTGAAAGGAGCATTGCAGAGTCGGGTCTGTGCGCAAGAAACAGAATAAAGACAGCTTCTCGAGGTGAAGCCCCGTCTCATCAGACTGTTCTGTCGATATCTAGAGCAACTTGACGGGCTCAGAATAGAGTGTGACGACGAAGTTGATAAGCAGTTGCAGAGCGCCGACTTCTCGCTTCTCGTTAAGCACCGAGGCTGGTCCTGTACATCTGCACGCTTATGGTGCAAACATTCTTTGCAACGGACTGCCGGCTTTGTGCTTTGCTCTCTTGCAAGAGCTGTTGTACAGTGGCCAGTGGCTGCTTCACTGCTTCATGTACTGATGTGCTAGGACTCGAGCGAAAAACAGATCAAGTGCAAAGTTGATCAAAGCTGGTTCCGGAACCTATCGCTCATGCCACCACAGTCTGCACAGGGTTCAATTTGCAGCGGTTGGGTATGTGAGCTCCTTTTCCCCGAAGCAGTGTGGTAAGGCAGGGTTCTCGGTTCTTATGTTTAGAGCGACTTTTCACAGCTGGTGCGCCCGGTTGGCGCACAACCGGCGGCTCCCGCTGTGGTACGGCGCAAATGTTGGGCAAATGTTCCACCGTACTTCAGGCACTCCCTAACTTGAGTCGCAGATGGACATCAGGCCACAGTCCGTCACGCTCATTTTGGAAGCTCCTTTGACGTGGTCTCGAATTCGCGCTCTGCGTCAAAGTTGGCAAGCGAGCTCCCGCCACACTGCTGTGCGTATAGTGAGGTGCGTTCTCCCGCCACAGTGCAGTGCACATTTCGGATGTGACTCGTATTTTGTCCTCCAGCATCGCGCTCCCTCCATGTCCCGCACGGATTGTGTGCTGGAATGCGCTGCATGCTCCTGCTAAAGTCTGCTAGGTCTTAGACTGTGTGGGGTCTACGCCTGACGTCATCTCCCTTGTGCGAGGAGTTTCACTTCAACGATCCTGACAGTTTCGATTTTGCAGCATCCCTGGATGTGAATCCTGCCATGCGGCTAGTTCCCGATGCTCTTTGCTGCTCAATGGCAGGTGACCAACCCTGGTGAGTTTTGGTGTCCTGGGACGGAGAATGAGAAAGAGGCAGCTTATCGTCAGGCTGGGAGACGTCAGAATTCGGTCGATTTGCATGAAAAGTCACACCTGGACTCCGTGCCAGGACTGCATCCCGCGTGCCAACTTCGACACATTCCTTTGGGCTTTGGTGTCTTGGACTTTCAGGAATTGAACCGAAGCAGGTGATTTGATATCAGTAGATAAACACTGCTTGAAATTTTGACGGGCCACAGCGAGCCAGGAACTGCAAAGATTCAAAAGTAAAGCAGCGAAGCGGAGTCAAAGTCGAGCCGTCACGTGGGCGATGCCTTGACCCGTCATCCTGGACGGCCGAGCTGAGTTTTCCCCACCCTCGAAAAGCGGCCAGTATGACCCATTCAAAGCAGGCGGAGTCTTCTTTGGTCCGATCCGAAAACAACGGGCAACAGGGCAATTTCAAACACCGCAAAACTGCAAAGCTTCCCTCCCGGCAAAGCAGTCTCCAGAGCGTCTGCCTTTTTGCGTGGCCTGAAGACGTTCCATGTTCGAGGATGGTAGGCATGCAGTGGCTGCCCTGATGAGGTCACCATCTTCCAGATCATGACAGGCACGGTTTTCTTTTCTGACCGCTTCCTGGGCACTGTTTCGCATGCAAGCCATGCAAGCCCCAGGTGAGAACTGGAACACCGTGATGTATGCAGGGATGCGAGCTGCAGGCAAGAGTTGCTTCGAGTCTAGAGCTGGCTTCGCTTCATGCATGATGCTCGACTGGTGACCCTTTTGGCAGCTGTGAGGTCCTGGTTTTTGCCTCCTATTCGTGCCCCGGCAGATGATTGAACTCCGGAGTTGTGTATTGTGGCGTGTCTGCGTTTGGCTCACCTCTGCGACGGGACGCGCGTCGGGTCATGATGAAAGGTGCTGCTTATCCTTTTTGGTCAGACGCTTTTCCTCAGCCTCTTGGCCGTCTCTTTCCTTCCCACCACAAGGGGGTTTGTAGCAAGTCCCTCCAAGGCTTGTTCCTTTCCATGCTGATGTCCAAGTTCGACCACGTACAGGACATGTTGCGTGTGCAGACAGAAGAGGTATGGTCTTTTGATCGCCCCATGCTTCAGCTCACGAATTCTTCAGGACAGCTTGAACCAGCAAGAGGACTTGCGAAGAGAACACACGGTCAAGCGCCCAGCAATGCTGGAGCGTGCATGGGACGTTATCGCCTGTTGTCGCCCGTTGTCCTGCTGGCGGTCATCGTGGTGCAAAGTCGCCACAAGTCAATCCGAAGCCAGTACTCTTGCGAAGCTGTCGTCAAACATTGAGGGAGGTTTCGTTGTGGCAGGCGCAGCGGCTCAGAAAAAAGTCGCTGGAATCGCACGGAGCTTGGTTGTAGTGCAGCCTTCTTGCAACATCTTTTGCAAGACTTTTCCTGGATTTGTTCTCAGCATAAGCGGTCATTGGGATCTGGGCTGGCTTCGATTTGCAGCAGCTAGATGAGCTAGATGAGGTGTTCCATTGAATTCCCAGAGAGCTGGCGTCTTAGCACAGGGTTTCTGCAGTGTAGCTGCGAATTTCGGCAAGAGAGAGCGGCATGGAGCTTGTGCCAGTGCAAGTTTGAGCGAAGGCACAGTTCTGAGGTCCGAAGCCGGCGAGCAGCCGCGTGTTGCACTCGGCCAAGAGCATGGCCGAGAGCCTCTCCAGCTTCAAGCGGTCGCTCACGGAGAGGCCGGGGCGCCCGCGCCAACAGAGATTTCTGTCGATGTGTGAACGCAGGGACACCTGGCCAGTGGGCTACGCATGGCCGGATGCCTCAGTTCTGATGTTCGGGCCAGGAAGCGAGCCGGCTGCACTCTTCAGGTTCATCTTCTCCAAGACCAATCCCGTTAGGAAGCTCTGCCATTGGATCTTGCACGCCCAGGCTTGGGGCTCTCCAAGTTGTGAGATCTGTCAGGTGCAGTGCTCGGCAGGTCGAGGTCGGAGGCTGCAAGATCCTGTGGGTTAAAACACCCAAAATTCGATTGGCCTGTGGCTCAGGACAGAGGGCAAGAGGAGGGAGGGGGCAGTAACAACGAAAGCCGAGCGACTCACCGAAATTAAAAAGGGAGACGGAAATCGGGGAATGACCGAGAGATGAAGAAAAGGTCCGGCAGACACGGGATCGCCAGCGAGAGAGAGAGAGAGAGAGTTCTTCGCCGAAATCATCTGGGACCCCAGTGCCAGCCCACTCAATAACACATTGGGGGGAGGGGTGGGCCGATGGCCTGAGGGTCGCGCTGCGACCCCTTCACCCAGCACAAAAGAAGATAAAGACAGAGAGAGAGAGAGAGAGAGAGAGTGGACGCCAGGGCGGCAGGGGAATCTCGGAAGCACAGTCTGTCACCTGTTCCACCCACCGCAAACACTGTTGACTTCTTCGGTATCCTAATGCTGTACCCGCCGTGTGGCCGGCCTCAGACCCGAATGCCGGATAAAGTGGTTGAAACAGCTTGACCGTGATGTGCCCGATGTGGCCGGTGAAAGGGGAGGGATCGAGTCCTGATCGAGGTCTTTGATAACTTCATTCTGCTATGCATCCTGGTGTCCACGGTATGCTCCTGAGTTTGCTGGGGCTGCCTCACGGCTTCACGGGGTGTCGGCCGTACCTGGCGCCGCGAGGTTACCATGGCCATGGACTCTCCCTTGGCGGACCCAAAAGAGTCCCTGACGATCTTCTTGCGCGGTGCAGACGAGGTGCGGCTCTTCGGATGGCGGATCGCCAGGTGAAGAGGAGCGTGGCGCGCTGGCCCCGAGGTGTTTGCCATCATCTTCATTGGAGAGATGGTCATCAAGCTTCTTGCTTTGGGCCTGATCTGGGGTGGGCACCCCGGCTCTCAGAGCGGTGGCGCGTCTACGACAACTCTGTGCTTCGAGGCGAGGATGCCTACCTGAAGAGCGCCTGGAACTGGCTCGATGGTGTGGTGGTCATGGTCTCCATCATCAACATGGCCAGGGCCATCCAGAGCCCCAAAGCGGCCTCGCTCTCGCGCCGCTCACTGCCTAGGCCAGCGCCAGCTCCACGGGCTTCCTGAAGACGCTCCGCATCCTCCGTCAGAGCCACGGAGAGGAGACACCGCCACAGCATGGCCCGGCCACGGTTGTGCAAAGCGGGTAAGCGGAGAGCGGTGCTTCTCAGGTGCTTTCCGGCCGCTACGCGTCATCTCGCGCAACGAAAACCTGAAAGTCGTGGCGCGGGCCTTACCGAAACGGCTACTACAATGCTACAGCCTCGGGGGGCAAGCTGTTTGCAACTTCTCTTGTGCTGACTTGTTGCAAGATGCATATATGTCTTGGCATGCTTGGCGCGTCATTGCGATGCTTCTCAATCCTTCTTACGGTCGGGGTAGGGTATCATTGCCTTCTAAAGGTGGGAGGGAATCAACATGTTAGTAAAGGTTGCGCGGTTTGCGTTCGTGCAGTCTGTGGCAGAGGTGCAGACAATCTTCGCTTCCATGCCGGGCGCTTTTTCATCATGCATCGGGCAGCGAGACAGCTGAACAAGTCTACTTCTCTAAGTTGGCTGATGGTGCTAGCAACAGTTCTCGGACATTGCCCTGTGCTGGGTCAGACTATACCGGAAAGTCTTCTTCTCTGCAGGTCCACTTGGCCATAGTGAAGGTGTAGATCACACAACAACTGTTCGGGTGGTACTTTAGGCCTCACCTGCTGACCTTGGTCATCGTGGCAATGTCGGATCCTGAGAATTCTGAACATTGCCAAAGATGGTTGCTCTGTGAGATCCTCATGTGGCCGAGGCTCTTCCTTCTGATTTTCGCTTTGTTCGGGCTGTCCTACCTTAACGGTCAAGAGCTCAGACACAACATGGTGATGTTTTTGACATTTTTTGACTTACCGACGGGCGGAGGCACATTTTTGATGTGCGATCTGGCGACCGAGCCGGGCCTTGCGAAAGAGCTGGGTCAGGACCGAAATCGGATTCGTGTCACTGGGTGACCTCAGCCACAGCACTGGACCTCAGCAGACAGTCGCTTGACCACGTCAGGCTGGTGCCCAAAATGGAGGATAGTCAACAGAGGCAGTGAAATACTGGGCCCTCTGCTTCGGAGGCCTTAAAGGATGTTCTGAGAGCAGGAGATCGTCCTGCTAAAATGCGGTTGGACCTCCTCGAGACAAACATAGAGTAGCTGACCTTACATCATTACATGCAGCTGGAGCAGACATGTTGGCACTCTCGGCTTTCAATGCTGAAGTCGTGCCTGCCTGAGACAGCTGAGCCGGACAAGGAACGGTAGGAGAACAAACTGGTTTGCAAGGCTTCAATCAAGACCAAAATATGTAACACACGCTTACATCTTCTTACCTCCATCTGTCACGCGAAGCAGAAGTCTGTTGAGCTTTGTGCAGGACTTTACAACACCGTTGTGTTTGCCGCCTGCAATAGATCAGGTAACCGCCGGAGCCCCAATTAGCAAGGTGGCATATTGATGCATGTCACGGGGTGATGCTGTCTGGACTAGCAGTCGTGTGCTGCCTCAGCGAGAAGGTCTCCGGTGGACTGACCCATGGCCAGTTCCAGCCAAGCACAAGCAGCTGGGCAGTCTCCTCAACTCCTCGAAGCAAATGCTGCATTATCTGGAAGCCGTCGAAGATTCGCTGTATCTTCCATTTGTGGGCGTTTACTTCCTTCAGGCTGGCAACACCACAGCCTGTCCGGGCTCGCATTACGTGGCCCGGGCCTTGTGGGCCAGCGTGCCCACTGCTTTATTGCCCACTTTCCTGCCTCCAGCTTGTAAGACTTCTTGGCAGAAGCTCAGAATGAGGAATATCAGCGGATTACAGCAGACACGCCCTGGGCACAGAGCGATTCATTATCGGACTGTTTTTGCCTCGCATCTCATGCATTCCTTTCGAGGCCTATCTGTATTGGACGCTGTCTCCCTGAAGGCTACTCCACGCCCATGCCTGAGACGAAGGTTTGCAGAGTTCTTTGGAGTGATGGTGAGTCCGCTGCCTCAGGTTTACTCAACCGGAATGGCTCTGCCCAAAGGCCGTAATTCGGAAGAAGCTGATTTCTCATGTGCTGTGCAACAGCCCTCGCGGAGGCCCTGACCATGACGGAAGAACTGCCAGCAGCCTGCGGACCTGAAGTCACCAGGACGAGAGAAACGGTCACCGTGTCTTGCGCCATCTGTGGCAAAGACAAGACCTTATGAGAGGAACATTTCCGCTGCTGAACAACGAGGCTGGCTTGGCACACCCCTATGTCTGCAGATCACTGCTGCGGAGCTCTGCAGAGCACTGCAGAGCATGGCCAAGACTGCTCCAGGGATTGCGTACGTGGACCAGATGAGCCCTGCACCCAGTGTTTTGCAACGCAGTGATGGTCGCTTTTGAGCTGATCCTGTGGGTTTCATGACGCAAACCTTTCCCTTCCACCGCTTCTGCCCAGCTCGATCTCTGGTTCTTCCCTGCGGCGGGAGTACTGTGAACTCCACTGGCCACATGGTGCGCCCACTGCTAGAAGCCTTCCTCCAGTCCTCCGCCACTGTCACGAGCACCAAGATGCATTCCAGGTACTTACGGCACAGGGGATGAGCTGTGCTGACCTTTTCTGCGGCGAGGCCGATTCGGTAGAGCTGTGGAAAGCGGGGACTCTACCTACATCTGCAACCACAACAACTTGCACGTCGTAACTTTGTTGCACCTGACCTTACGGCTTTCCGGCCGGAGGTCGACGAAGATGTGAAGACCCAGTGCCGTGCGACTTGCAGCCAGGCAAGTGGAATTCATGTCCTTGCACAATGCCTTGGTTTGCTGAGATGGGATGTGTGTTGAACGTGTTGAGAAAGCATAAGTGGTCTGTTGTCATTCTGTGCCTGTGCGTGGCAGTGCAGCATGTTCTCTCATGCCGCAAGTTCCAGGCTCCATACTTCTGCGTGGATGCATGCGGGCCGGGATTAGAAGGAAGTGGCGGCCTCAAATGTTTGATGGTGTGCAGTCCGGAGTGACCAGGGGCCATGCACCAGGTGCCCAATGTGAGTCCTGCAAGTACGAGTGCGAGGCGCAGTGCAGGCGTGGCGTGGGCGAGCGACGCAGGGTTTTGGGGTCGAGGTTTGCTCCTTTGGACATCAGGTGCCCAGAGTTCTGCGAGGGCCTGATCCGAGATGCTGCGCTCTGCCTGGAGCAGGGCTCGAGGCAAGCCGTCCGTTTAGCAGCGGTACCGGGAGGGCATGTGCAGGCGGAGGCAAGGTGAAGCGATGCTCCATCACCCCAATCCTCTAGGCATGTCCTGGTGGGTAAGATGCTAGAGAGGCACTTTGTCAGGAAACCGCCAGCCTGCAACAAGAGCATCTACGACTGCTGTTCTGTTATCCAATTTGTGCCCACATTCCCCCTCATCAGCTGAAATTGTACATGCTCGAAGGACTTCCAAACAAGTGGGATCGTTTGCATCAGGTGGGTGCCAACCATCAGCCAAAACTTCAACAACATTTGGTTTGCAATGCCAGAGACTTAGCCTTGCTCAAATGGCTTTTGCGCAAGAGATATTCTCCCGACGGTGGATTGTACCGCGAGTGAGGCTCACCCTCTTTGAGATTTCGACCACGGAGGGCTGGGTGGATGTGATGTACTCTGCTGCAGATTCTGTGCAGCCTTACGTTGCCTGGCGGCAGCGCATAGAGGAGAGAGTCTGCGTTGCGAGAACACGTCTAAGCAGGTGCAGCCCAAGAGAGACAACCAAGAGATGTGGGGTGCCCAGGATCTGATAGAAGCTGAGACCTTGATTTCTTGAAAATCTCCTCGAGGCTGTGGGTTCCGTTCTTTATGCTGTACCTTTTCTTTAGCAATATGTCATCTCCTCAGGGACCGCCACCGCAAGAGTGTGAATGTAATTGAATCGGCTCCCATCCCTGGTTGAGTCCTTGTTCCTTAAGGTTCATCATCAACTTGAGCGTGGGCGTCATTGTCGACAAGTTCATGTCTATGAAGCAATCCAACACTGCGGTGCGCCCCCCCATCAGAAGATTGAAGTCGAATTGGCAGCTGACAGCAGCTGGTTTCGCTTTTGCTGTCTGTCTGAAGAATCTCAGATGATTTGTGCGTTGAAGTGTGGGAAGGGTCTTGAAGCCTTTAGGTAGTGGCGCTCACAGGTGATGCTGACAGAACCACAGAAGAACTGGGTGAACTCCATCATGAGCCTGTACTCAAGGCAGGCTGCGATTGGACCGGCATAGTGTCAATTGGTAGGTCACGTTTGAGTAGGGCCTTCTACCGGCACATTACAGTCTTGTTCTCTGATTGTGACGGCCGCCAGCCGTCGCGAGCATTCACTTCGTGTCTGGTGGTGTAGGGCGGCGACGGCCGTTTTAGCTGCAGTTGCTCCCGAGACAGTCGCTCCAAGAAGTTGCAGTGCGTGGGTGTCGAGAGCATGTGCAGGCGGCAGATTGTCAACCTCATGCCGCTCCGGCACCAGTTGTCGTCTGCAGTCGAAGCACTTTTCAGAAATCGCGGTGTTCTTGGCGGCTGTTCTGCAGCACCACCATAGGTGCTGAGTTTGCTCATCGCTCTGCAATGTGCATTCTGATGGCAGGGACCTTCACGAGAAGCCTTGGTTGAGACGGAAATGCTACGAGCTGGCTCGGCCGGCTAGTTTTCCTAATCTTGCCAGCATGTCGTGGAGAGCGATGACGCACAAGATCGGGCATAGGGACTTCTTGGATGTGTGTGCAGTCAGTGTGCGTGTGTGTGCGTGTGTGTGTGTGTGTGTGGCCCAGGCTGCGCCTTAGCGCAAAGAATTTCACAAGCACGCATTCCGCAGTCAAGTTTTAATGAAATCACCCCTTTGATCAGCTTACAAATACATGAAATTCTGCTCGATGTTCGAGGCAAACTACTGCTTGCTTCCGAATGGCCCCATGTGCGGCAGGGTTTTCGGATTCACACCGACAAATCCAGGTATCCAGCGAATTCTTCGAGACCAGCATCATGGGTGCAATCGTGATCAACACGCTGTTCCTGGTGTCTCGCCTTGTTTATGCCTGGTAACCCTGAAGACCGGAATAGGCCTAGGGATCTGTCACCAGCTGGCACTTCTTTCTAGACATCGACCGGAGCAGATGTCGGTAGCCTGCTCCGTGGAGTCAGGGCTCGCATCTGCGGTGTGCGTGTCTCTCGTGTCTGTGCAGGCAGCCAAGATCACTCCAACCCCGTTTCCGGAGTGGGAGACATTTCTGGAGACAGTGAACTATGTCCGGATCACGGCATGTGCCAAGATGGTTGCCAATGGCATGTCAAGCATGCGTGGCATTTGCATTCTGGCGCATTCTTCGACGCAGGGCTGTGCAAAGTTTTGTGCTGAGATCTTTGCCGGGATCTTCACCGTTGAGTGCGTGCTCAAGATATTCGCTTTGCGAACCAACTACTGGGGTTCTGCACTCAGAGTAAAGACGATTTGTGCCAAGGGGGCGTGCAAGTTTGCCTGCTCAGGAGACCGATGGAACTGCTTCGACTTCACATGCGTTGCGACGGACTTGGTTTCGTTATTTGCTTGTGTAAAACTTCCTCAGGTTTCGCCCCCCCCGACTCCACTACCAACCTCCTGTTCAGGTTGCCACGATTGTGGGCATTGTCGTCAGCAGAGCCTCCAATGTGGACGTCTCACTTGTCTGCGGAACAGAACAGAGCCAAAGGTCATCCGTCGCAGAAATCTTTAAGCACTTTGGAACTTGTCGTGCCATTTGGCTTTCAGTGTTCCCAGAAGAGTGGGAAAATAGTGACAAAACTCGCGCCGGAAAGACTTAGTCTGCGATCATGACCGCCCGGCGTTCCAACGGACTTGGCCCCCTGATCCTCTTTGCAGCAGCATCTTGCCTGGTGGACTTGTGGACTCCTTCCCCTGGCAAGCTCCCTCGCGACCTGGCTCTGGCGGTGGCCGATGAGGCCCCCGGGAGAGAAACGAATAGGTGATTGCCCTTTTGGGTAGTGGAGTGTAGTGGAATGTCCTGGGGCCGTCCGGGTGCATCTCTGAGGCGCCCGCAGAGGAGGGCGGCTTCATGACCAAGGTCTTCGCAGCAGCAGCCCAGGGCTGTACCGCCGCGCTCGTGGCCGCGATCCTGTCCGCCATGTGCGAGCCCCTGGTGAACAGGCCGGGACCCTGCACCTGCCGCATCCTGCCGCCACCGAAAGAATTTGCCGAATCCCTGTCTGAGGCTGCTGGTGAAGCGCATGACCGTGGCCCAGGCCTATTCTGAAGTTACCTTCAGCCTCGTTGCCAACTTCTTCCTCACGACCTTCCCGACGAACATGCTGAAGTTTCCAGTCTTTGAGGCAACTCTCCCTCAACTGTTGGAATCTAGATGCTGTATCAGACCGCACGACTCTCTGTGACAGTATGAGTTTCCCTCGCAAGGTCATCAACAGGGCCATGATGTACACTAGCCTCTCCCCCGGTGTGAGCGGTTTCATCAGCGGCTGGCTCTTCTGCACGATCATGCTCCCCGTGACCAACTACCGCTTCCGCAAATCCATGGGCTGGGAGATCAAGGCCTCCCTGCTCTACCAGGCCACAGAGGGGAGACTCATATTTCTTTTTTGAGCATAGGCATGCAGAGGCATATAGCCAGGGGCCAAAGGGTCCAGCCGCGCTTCTGTGAGGCTTACATTCCCACGGTGGCCCGCGACATCATCTACGGCTGGGCCCGTGGACTGGCCGGGCCTCGCATCCAGGATGCGCTCGCCCCGACCACCTTCACGCACAAGGCCATGGTCTTCGGGCTCACGATCTGGGCCTCCTGCATCATCTCATCTCCTTGCAACGAGTGGCGTGGATACACCCTGCAGCCTCCTGACAAGAAGCTCCCCTTCAACATCTACTTCAAGCCGATCAACTACGCACGCTCCACGGGTATCGGATCCACCATCATGGGAGTGGCCCTGTGCTTCGGAATGCTGGTGACACCCTATGCTGAGGAGGCCTTTGCATACATGAAGGAGCACACAGCCATTGCGATGGCCGTCGTCGCTGTGTTGATCATCGTGATTGTGGCCTTTTCCAAGTGAGCTTCGCGCTTTTCGATTGCGAGTTTGCGCCAATCCGGATACTCGGAGATCTGTCTCGCGCCGCGGGCGTAGAGAATTTTTCGGAACCAACGAACCTGGAACCGGGCTTCTGCAAGCACGACAGAAAAAGGAGTGCTTTGTTTAGACATGAGCTGTGCCTAGTGGATCGCAGATGACTGTAAGATCAGGAAGATCCAATCAAAGGATTAGAGACTCTTCTTGAGCTTGCATGGCTTGCTCAGGTCAGGATCGACCCCATCATCCAAGTGATCCGCATCTTTCGCATTGTTGGGTGCCCTGAGACTGCAAGTGAAGCTTCTGCTTCTTGATTTCGCGTGTTTCTGAGGCGAGATTGTTCCGGCTACTACGATTCTTGAAGGGCTTGCACCTCTTGCTGGGTTCAGAGAGAGGGGTACCGAGCCGCTTCTGAGTCGTCTGCCGGCCTGTGTGCCAGGAACAAGATCTTCATGGCATTGTTGATGTCATTACCAAAGCACCTCGGCTTGTGTGGACACTCCTAGTCACAACTGTCCGAATGTGCCACGCTCGGCCGTGCAGTCTTCTGTTAAAGGTCAGCATCATTAGGAGGTCCTGCGTGTGTAGGGCAGAGACGAAGCTTGACATACTGACCAGGCTCATGAACGTGCTACTCATCCTGTTGCTCTTGCTCATCCTTTACAGTCCGCTACTCAACCCTTGCTTGACATAACTCGAGGGCATCAAGCTTCATTGAGGCCAGCATCAAGTTGAAGTTGATCTTTCGTGTTATGCTTGAGGCATTCTGGGCGTCAGTCTTTTCTCGACGACCAAGCTCGGAGAGACTTTGAATGTTCATGCGCAGTCCCGGCTTGTTCTTGGAATGTTCACTGTTTCAGAAATGCGAGCTGGTTCCGTTGAGTGATGTTCCATTGATTCGTGTCGTGATATAGCTGAAGATGTTCACTGTGGCCCAGGGAATTGGAGCCTTTGTCCTGGAAGCTGACATGGCAGGAACTTCCAGAACTTCCTTCTGGCCTTCATCACACTGTTCCGAGCGTCCACGGGGGAGGCGGTCGGTTCACTTGAGTAGAAAGCTTGAGCAGAGGTCTACAGAGGCCGCCTCTGCGTGATCATGCATGCACAGAGCTGTCTGCAGAGCAGTCTCAATGTTGTGGCTCGGGGCTCTCCTCGGAACCGTTTTTGCTGCGAGGATCAGCGTTTCCGTTGCGATTAAGCTTCTGCAGGCCTGGAATGAGATTATGCACGAGCTGGCGATGACGGAGGCCGTCATGCCCTGTAAATCAGGCTGTCGAAGTACTATCCCGGAGTCACCGCAGCTTCAATTCAACGCTTGGCCAGCTTGCAGTTGATCGCAAGCCGTTGGAGCTCGAGCAAAGTATGTGTTTGATTTATTGAGGATGGAGCTAAACTGGAGTGCTGAAGGCTGCGCGCAGGACGGCACACTGCTGGCTGGCGCCGATGCATCTCGCTTCGTCTCCGTGGACATCCCGAGTCTGGGATCACCAGAACCTAAGGTTAAGGGAGGCTTTGATGCCTTCCTTGCGGAAAATCCGCACTTAGAGTCGCAAGCATACAACGAAATCAAGAAATGTGCCAACTGCGGAAAGCCATGTGCAGTCACCATGGACATTTGCAACTCATGTGGTGCGTCCTTAGCGGACATCGCGATCAGCAAGAGTGCGAACCTTTTCGTCGGTTTCATCTTTGGTGTGGACAAGGCCAACTTTCCTCTCAAGATCTCGATGAGGCATGAGACAGAGGACATCATGGTATTCGACGATCCGCTTGCAATCACTCGGGCACATGTCCTGTCGGTACCTACGCAGGCTGAGGGGTTCAGAAAGCATTTCATGAACTGGTCTCATAAGCTCCTGCCAGGTGTACTGTCCCGACATCCGTTCGCTGTTCTCTGACCCTCCCAATGCATTGGTGCTGCTCAATAAGATGGAGCAGGCCGCGTGGACGGCTCTGGAACAGGGCCTCTCGGCTTACAGCGCGAAGGGTCCCACACAGGGGCGGTGCATTCTGAGCCGAGGTCCTCTGGCCTCTGAGGCCTGGCGGCGTCAGGCGAAATGCAGGGACTGCAAACATCAAAAGGGGCCTAGACATGCGCACAATGCGTGCAGACATTGGCATTCCTTTGCACGTATGTTCTTTTTATGTAGGTGTGAAACCGACCCATTTTGCAGT